AAAATCTCCTTGGATGATAGGAGTCCATGACATTGCAATAAACAACAACACTGGAAAGGGATTGTTAGCTTTTCATGCGCTAACGGGAAGTAGACACGACGAGTCAGTTGCAGGATTTTCTAAAACGCTGCATGGAAAGTATTCATTGAAGATCCAGATCGCATTCATGGGTTGGAACAGATTCTACCACTATCACCTAGAATTAATTGCTATCATCATGGAAGCATTTATATGTAAACTGTATGATCCAACGACAACATTGGTAGTCATACAGGAGATTCGCTTGTCGAAGTTCTTCCAATGCAAGACGAATATTGACTATTTGCCACCAACGAAAGACGCACTATACTACATTGTCATCGAGCCCACTATCAGATCCTCATTTGGAACCAGTGTGTAGATCAGTGCATTTCTTCGGCATTTGACTGCGGTTGGTATATGGAGGATGGCATTCTGAAACCACGGCTCATGACACTGAATCCATTTCGTGCCAATACTATTGCAATAAAGACATGTGGTTGTAGTAAAGACGGACCTTGTTGCCGTACACGTAGCTGTACATGTACCAAAAACAATATGTGCTGCACCGGTGCGTGCAAATGCAACATGGCCTGCATGAACCCATACAACAATGTTCTTGGGGTGGACTGTTTTTAAAACTACATATTCTGACAATTCTGTATGCTTATATATGTTTTTATGTTGGCTTAGACTGTTGTATAGTAATGGAGTAATACCCACCTGTTGAAATCAAGATGGCGCCATCTATGCTTTTCTAAGTGTCATAATTCTGTTCTCCATTATCGAAAATGTGGGTTTAGACATCAAAATTATGTCTCTACGACGTCTTGGAGTTTAGTTATTCAAAAAACAAATTTTCACTGGCGGCGATATTGAAATCCAATATGGCCGCCATCCTATGTTCTTCTAAGTGGATAATTGGGTTCTCCACTATCGAAATGTGGGTATAGCCACCAACATTATGTCTCTACGACGTCTGGGAGTCCAGATATTTTCAGAAAAATCCATTTTCGCTGGCGGTCATTTGGATTCAAGATGGCCGCCACAATACGCAAAAGTCAGCGTGGAAACATACCAGTGGAACTCCCCAAGTATCATAGAAATGATATTTACCCGTTCCAGCCTCTACCCAAAAGTTTAGGCTCATCCTTATTTTAGCTCTTTTTTGAAATCTGCCCCCTGACTATTAGTAGAATCGCTGAAATATTGATTGTTGCGCGCAAGCGAAGCGAGCTTGCTGGACTCGACGCTCTAATGCGAGCTTGGTGCTGAATCGATAACTGCTGCTACACACACACACACACACACGAACACACACGACGAACACATCACACGAGAGGACACATTACCTCCCTGCAACTCCGTTGAGCGGAGGTAATCACACACACACACACACACACACACACACACACACACACACACACACACACACACACACACACACACACACACACACACACACACCACACCACACACACACACACACACACACAACCACACACACACACACACACACACACACACACACACACACACACACACACACACACACACACACACACACAGACCACACACACACTAACAGCAGCGCACTGCACGCACACACACCGCAATGCAACGCGAGCACGCACACACGCACACACACACACACACACACACACACACACACACAATCAAGCGCGCGCACGGACGCATACCTACGTACATAAACGCGCTCACGCAGACGTACACACACGCGCCGACGCGCAGACTCATACATAAAGTCACAGAGCAGTGAATATCCCCATATGTTGCTCCTGTTGCGGTTTCCGATAGATGGCAGCAAGAGTATAAAACACGGTATTGCGTGTTGTACGACACTAGAAGGCGTCCATAGGCACCATCGGCTCTTGAATTAAAGCATCGCACATAAATTAATTAAAATTACTTACACTAGCTGTTTTGCCCCATACACAACATCCACTTTATTCATGTTAAATAACTACAGATTCATGCTCTATGCTCCGCTTGAAACTTTTGCCAGCTCTATGACGCGAATTTCTACAAAGTAGTCGGATCACATTTCAAACACAAAAATGACAAACCGGTTACCATAGCTACGCCACTTGACGAAATGTCACAGCTACACGACAAGATCAATTTTACTTCTAATGCTTTCTAGACGTTCACGAGGCATCTAACCTGCGTGAATAATGCAAAAGAGTGCACTCTAATGACGAATTTTACCGAATAAAATGCCAAAAACCCCTTTCCTAGAATCCAAGACACACGGGTGCCACAGAAATTGAATATATAGATATAGATATGGCCTGAAAGAAAGACAAACGTATCAATACAACAGTGTGTTGCGTAAAAAACTGCTTTTTTAGTTTACGCGTACCGAAGACGAAGAAGTAGTACAACGTAAAGCAGCCCGCATCTGTTGATAGGTTGGTTGGTTGGGTTGACATTGAGCAGTCTTGTTGCCAACGTAATTTGTGATATCAGGAGACGGCTCAAGTACGTAGTTAACATTTTATAGCTTGAATTCAGTACGTAAGAAGAGGTAAATGCTGAGACCTTACCAGTTATGAAGACACGCCAGCGTGCGCCTGACGTACAAGGATTGACAAAGCTCATGTACGATATTAGAACAGTTTTATGGAAGGTTGCTCATGTGGCTTGAGTAGAAAAGCGAGACCCGTTAAACATGAAATGTGTACATATCAATGTTAAAGAGCATGTCTAATATAATTCATACTAAATACATTAGTTCCTCTGCATGCTATACTACAGGGGAAACGGGCGCATCTGAATCGTTAAAGCGAGAAGTACGCCTAGAGCTTTCTGTATGCAAGGCGGTTGCTTATGAAATTCGGCTCTTTGTCTAATTCCGGGAGATAAAACATGTTCTATACCAAAACCTTTGACTAAACCCAATATGACGATATAGGATATGTTACGCTAAATGTAATTAGAAAATAGTTAGAAATCCACTGCACCCGTAACAATTTAATAGTGTATAGTGTAATATCGCCATATACACATGCACATATGCGCCACACACACAATTATAATTCGCATTAGTATAATATATAGTTTTTAATCACTCCTGATCATGTGTGAACTACGTTAATTTAGAAGTTCTTATGAGAAAGCAATCCTTACCTGCATGTTGGGATACGATATTATGGAACTCCATACAAGAGACAATTTATATTGCAGAAAACACTAAATCCATTGTTATATTCCAATTAGGCTACGAGTAGGATCAATTTATCATCTTAAGAGTCTATATAATAGCGTGTTTAAAGATGTAGACTGTTTTAATTAGCCTATATGCCTAGATTCCTGATTTTTGGTCAAAAATTACGATTGTTCAAATCTATGTAATTGTGCTGAATGCCTAATATATGCTACAATTGTCATTTTTGTACATTTGTGTTTTTTTCAAATTGAATATGTGTTCCTATTGTCCTCACTGTATAGAGTAGAATGGGCACAAATAGTGTTAGTCTAGTGTGTTATTTCTATTTACCCCACAGTCGGGGTCAAAAGAAACAGTCACAAAAACAAAACAAAAAACTTTCGACGATGGAATTGTGATAAATTACTTTTATCATCAAGTAGCACATGTATGGACACACACACACCCACACACACACACACATATATATATATATATATATAAGTAAAGACACACGGACACCTATGAAGAGATAAGATAAATGTAAAAATAGAAATAGGTGTCAAAATTTTAGCGTAATAACATTTTGACACCTATTTCTATTTTTAAATGTATCTTATATATCTATATATATAAAGTTGTTCAGCCGAATTCCAAAAGGTGTTCTCCCTTTTTGGAAACAAAAATTAAACACTCATCAAAATAAAAATGAAACACTAATAACTAACACCAAACAGAGGTAATTTATTACAGATAACAATGTTATTAAAGCTTACTCAATGTTTAATAAATACATTTTACAGTTTGAGTTGTTACAAAACCAAGAAAACTGGTCAATGGAAATTTCAGTGGTGATTCAGTAATTAGGCAAAATGTTCACCATACATCCTCATTCTGCTCAACAATGGTATAATCAGTTAATCATCTTCACCAGAGTCAATTCATTGATATTCCTGATAAATAGTTTTTATATTTTTGATAAGTTTTTAATCTTTTTTTCTGAAATTCGCTAAATCCAAATTTCATTAAAAAACAAATATATTAAAAATCAATCATGTACATTAGATATCATTCAGGTGTGTTTTCATGCTAAGTACCATTCACTTGAAATATTAGAGTGAAAATCAATATATATATATATAGAAAATCAATATATATATATAGAAAATCAATATATATATATAGAAAATTAATATGAATCATGTACATTAGATATCATTCAGGTGTGTTTTCATGCTAAGTACCATTCACTTGAAATATTAGAGTTAAAATCAATATATATATATAGAAAATCAATATATATATATAAAGAAAATTAATATGATTTATAAATGTTTACGTACACATATCGCAAGAAATAGTGAAAAAATGTTCCTATTCAGTATTCACCCCGTATTCAGTATTCAATACTTCACACAGTCTGAGAACAATATATTATACTGTTTTCAGCACACAGTGACAGTGTGAAACTTTATATGACCACACTGTGTAGACTGGTACCCGGTCCCACCTCTCGGCTTAGTTACTCGATGACCCCCATCGAGTAATCGAGGTGGGAGCGAGTACCAGTCTACACAATGTGTAACATTATGACCACAATAAAAACAAGTAACTCATATGTATGACATGTGTATTATATATGACAAATTTAACATATATTCCATGAGCAAATTATTACCCGACGACTTAAATTTAGTCTACTAGATAACTATATATAATATTCATTATTTTATTTATATTGTACATATGGCCAAAACTCTAATCAGGATTAGCGACTAGATGGCGCCACGATAGTTGGCGCGAGTGACGTATATTTGTTTTCACACCTGACATGATCCTGCAGAGATCGGGAACAATGATCAGAGGACAGTGACACCCTTTTAAACCATTTTCATTCATTATTATAGCAACTATTTTTACCTACGGTCATTACGGCGTGCATAGGGGAACGCTTTGTTCTTAGTCATGGCATTACCTGCGTGGCAGCTAACCCTGCTGGACAAGAAACGGAGACAACAATCTGATGTTCAACAGGTAGACGCAAGGTAAGCGAGGATATGTAGGAACGTACGCACAGTGTTCGATGCTGGCATATCAATGCCAATGACAGCGGACGGCAGGCATGCACAGTGGGTTTAGGGACGAATGTTGTACGAAGCATGCATCTAGCTACGTTTCTTCGTGGCAAATGGTGGGTATACCTTGTAAAGTGCGCGTAGAACTATATCATGTATGTATGTATGTATGAACGGGAACCTTTAGATCGGTGTTTCCCTTTTTATTTTTGAGTTTCCCACCGGTAATTTCACTTTACCCGGAGATTTGGTTCCGAAGCTTCCAGGCTGATTCCAAGTAATGTTTAACCTGCTCTACGCAATCCCCATAACATCTATGTTCATTTAGCCTCAAGATGGTGAGCATCATGCACCTGCCTTTCCTCCAGCTGTGCAGGGGTGACCTCCACTTCTTGGAGCCTGTCCCACATAATCTTCCTTAGGTGTTTGTATGCCGGGCAAACTAACAGGAAATGCTTGAAGTCTTCTGGTTCTCCCTTATTGCACACAGTGAAATTTTCTTCCCCTAACCATCTCCTGGTTCTTTTATTTACGGGGAGGCATCCCGCTCTACATTGGTACAGCAGCTTACTGCCGATTTTATTATTATTGTAAAAGGTTTCTTGTTTAGGAAATAGTTTCCCTTTATATAGCTCTAGTGTGCTTTTATTTACCATCCCCTTTCTCCATCTGAGTGTGCTGCCTTTTATAATGATTTTCTCCACCGTATTGTTCCATGATTTGCTGTTTTCTCAGTCTCTATTTATCAATAACTGATATATGATGAGATAGGAAATAGTCTACAGCCAGGTATTTACTTGTGCATACTCAGGATAGGGCCTACTGGTATCCCATTTAATATGTCGCTAATATTATACTAATAGTAATATTCGATGCCAATACTCGATCGGTTATATGTTGCATGGTATTATTGGCACACTAGATGTTATTTTTGGCGTAATTGAGCATACACATACTGTACTGTAGACTGACTGTATGTGTCACACACAGTAAACAGGTACGTAACGTACACACCAGTTCTCATTAATATTTAGTTTAAGCTCTAAACTCATCGTTTGAAAAGGGTTCAGTGTTAAATGTTTCAACAAACTAGCATGTAATCCTGCATGATTTTTCAAAGTTTCATTTCATTTTTAATAACATATTACTGTTCAAAATGACAAACTCCATATCACTCATTAGAAACATCTATACGGTAGGACGGGTTTAGGGTAGCCCTCTGCTCATCAGTGAGTATTTAGTCATATATGCGTTTTATTCGAAAAAGTATGTCTACTTGGCAAATGGTTACACTTGTAAATACTACAGGCAAATACATGTGTTTGGTTAGCCACAAGTTGCCTTCTCGCTTAACACTACGTTGGCGAGAGATCCTACGCCGTGTAACAGTCGGAGAGCCTGGTCGGTTTAGCGTTTGGTGTACTTCAAGTTATTACTTGTGATTGTATGAGTTATGATTTGTAGTGATAGCGACTACACTGTGTGTGAAACTAATAGTATTAATTGTAAATCATAGTCAGCATGGAGGTGATAGAGACTAAATAATCTTGATACAATATTTAGCCATAGATAGAGCCAATAGCAATAGTGCACAAGGCAGGTTATGTTTTTTTAATAAAATGTTATTTCCATAACCTAGCTGACAAAGCAGTTAGCATATGCTGTGACTATATTCTAGGTGTGTAAAAGGTTTATATGGCCCATCAATTTTAAGATGTGATGAGGGATATAAGGTGAACTTTCTCCATGTAAGGTCATGCGTTATACTCCATGAAATTCTTCATCATGAGTCAGCTCATTTATATGTACAAGTTTTACAAGCTGTATGTCAAACCATAATACTTCAAATTTTAGTTACAAAGGTTGCATGAAAGCAGGATGTTTATATTTACTTTAGGTATAAGCCAATATCGGCTGGCTAACATTAAATACAAGTAGGAATATCAGAGACAGTATCACCCCCTGTGTGAGCTGGAGAGGCTCTTTGTCTCTCCCAGTGAGTAAATTTATTTAGGACACTTACTCTACTTTTCTTAGGCTCTTTTAACAAATTTTACATCATGATACGCTTGGTGAATGTAGAAAGGCATCAGAGTATGTTTCATGTTACATTGTACTGTTAGCATGATGTCTATTGGCAGTAATGGAGAACGATTATTTTGGCTTGGCTAGTTTACATAAATGTATGTGCATATTATTATTAGGCATTGTGCTATTTCCGGATACAGGTCATGAACGGCTTGGCATATCATTGTGCATCGTGTATGTACATGTACTTAGAGTTAGACCAGAATTTCTAAAATCTCATGGAATCGCAGTGCTGTATCTACATGTGTTACCTGCATCATGCATAGACGTGCGATTGGAGTTGTTGGCATTTTATTATTGCCACCTGATTCACTGAGTAACCACTCATGTCTGCACGTTACATACTAACGCCTCCACCTGATTCACCGTGTAACTATACCATGTATGCACGTTGTAGGTATACTAACGCCTCCACCTGATTCACCGTGTAACCATACCATGTATGCACGTTGTAGGTATACTAATTAACACCTCCACCTGATTCACGGTAACCATACCATGTAGGCGTTGTAGGCTATACTAACTCACCGTTCACGAGTACAATACCATGTATGCCACGTTGTAGGGTTTCTACGCTCACTGCGTTCACCTGGTGTAACGATACATTGTAGGCACGTCTGTTAGGTATCTTAACACCTCACCCGATTCACGAGTACATTACATGTATGCCACGTTGTAGCGGTATAATAACACCTCCACCGTATTAGCGGTTACCATAACAGTTGTATGCCCACGCTTGTAGGCTCTCTACACCTTCACCTGATTCGCGAGTACCATTACATGTATGCATCGTTGTAAGGTATATACACCTCACTGATTCAGCCGGCAGTACCATACATGGGATGCACGTTGTGGGTAGGACTAACACTCACTGATTACGTATTACCATACCATGTATGACGTTGTAGTTATTACTACAGTGCTCGAAATAAAGGTGTCCGGTTGTCGAGACAAGACCGAATTTGCGGCCGGACAACCTAACCAGTCTGGAGATGTGTCCGGGGTGGACAGCCAGAAAAGAATTGTGACGGAAACCGGCACTTTATTTATGTTTTTCTCAGGGTTCTCAAGGAACTTTATGCTTGGCGGCCCGCCATTAATCTATGGGTGTGGAAAGAACTACGTACCAGCTGCTAATTACTCAACACTGGTATTATGTCAGGTTTTCTGAGTTGTATGAGAGGTGAATTCAAGCTCGAGGAACAGCCAAACCAGCAAGTTCACCCTTACATTTTGGTATTTTTTATTCCTTTTTATTTTTTGATTTTCGATGGCTGTTGCCCACTGCCAAAACAAACACGTTGGGGATTCTGTTTGTCCGTAGTTTACAAAAAGAGAAAGATTGTGTAGCTCAAGATGAAGGCTGTATATGTACTCACAAAGTGCCGCAAATTACCATCTCTGCCGATCTACTTTCAATTTTCTGGGAGGACACCCATACCCGACCTTGTTTTTCACCCCCTCCTGGGAATCCTAGATCCGCACTGAACAATTACTATCTTGAGGGAGCAGAGACATATGAACATCAAATGCTTCGCCTTTTCGCATTGGCACCCAAAACAAGATTGCGAGAGATGGTAGAGGAGCCGGTAGGATGTGTGAGGAGGGAGCGTCAGGGCTTAAGTATTAAGTCATCACTTTTTGCGCAGTTTGCTGTTTTATGTCCCCCTTGTTTACAAAATCCTGGCTTACACATGTTTTTGCGGTGTTTTCTTTACATATTATTATTATTATGTGATTGAATAGGAGATTTTGGGGGATATTTTTTTGGGACAACCAGGAAATTGTTCTCGGCGAACCGACGGATTTGATGCTGGGTTGTCGCAGGACAACCACTTTTTTTTGTTTTATTTTCGAGCACTGTTCTAACACATCCACCTGATTCACGAGTAACCTTACATGTATGCCCGTTGTAGGTATATTAACACCTCCACTCGATTCGACGAGTAACATACCTGCTAATTGCACGTTGTAGCGGTATACGTTAACACCTCACCGATTTCACGAGTTAACCTACATGGTGATTGCCACGGTTGTAGGTATATTAACGCTCGCACCTGATTCACGAAGTACTATAGCCATGTTATGGGCACGTTAGTAGGTCTACTAACGCTCCACCTGACCCTTACGCGTAACCATACCATGTATTGCACGTTGTAAGGTATTTATAACACCCTACACCGATTACGATGTAACCTACATGTATGCACGTGTGTTAGGTATAATTAGACACCTCCACCGCGATCACGCAGTAACCATACCATGTATGCACCGTTCTGTAGGTCTATGACTAACAACCTCCCGAGTTCCGAAGTACCATACCATGTATGCGACGTATGTACGGTATATTAACGCTCCATGATTCAGGGCCGAGTAACTTTATACCATGTATGGCACGTTTGTAGTATTATTATCCCTTTGCACGATGTCACCGAGTAACCATAATGTATGCAGTTTGTAGGTTACTAAGCCCTCCCACCTGATTCCACGAGTACCATACCATGTATGCACGGTTTGTAGGTATACTACACCTCCACTGATTCACCGGTAACCTCCTGGTATTGCACGTGTAGGTATACTGGACCTCACCTGATTACGAGTACCATTACATGTTCTGCACGTTGTAGGCTATATTACGCCTCCACCTGATTCACTGAGTAACCTACATGTGTGGACGTTGTATGGTTTACTACGCCTCACCGTTCACGAGGCGTAACCATTACATTGTTGCACGTGCTGTAGGTATATTACGCCTTCACCTTATTACGGTACCATACCATGTATGCACGGTTGTAGGTTACTAACACTCACCCGCATTCACGAGGTAACCATACCATGTATGCACGTTGTAGGTATACTAACACCTCCACCTGATTCACCGAGTAACCATACCATGTATGCACGTTGTAGGTATATTAACACCTCCACCTGATTCACCGAGTAACCATACCATGTATGCACGTTGTAGGTATATTAACACCTCCACCCGATTCACCGTGTAACCATACCATGTATGCACGTTGTAGGTATACTAACGCCTCCACCTGATTCACTGTGTAACCATACCATGTATGCACGTTGTAGGTATACTAACACCTCCACCTGATTCACCGAGTAACCATACCATGTATGCACGTTGTATGTATACTAACACCTCTACCCGATTCACCGAGTAACCATACCATGTATGCACGTTGTAGGTATACTAACGCCTCCACCTGGAGACAGGATCCGATTCTAAAACAGCGAGCATCTCTCAAACATAAAGGGCTAAGCACCTCAGATAGCATGCGAGACGACGCGGTGGCGACGGATCGCGAGCGCGCGTCGACGCGGGAATCTGACTCCGACTCGGACGCCGATGCGCACATCCCGCGCGTCGCGGAGAACCCGTGGATTAAGAGCGAGCGGCGACTGGCGGTGGGCAGGGACGGCGGCGCACGTGGCCGGGAGTGCGCGCGGCGGCCCGCGGAGTACGCGCTCGCTCTCGTGCTCGCCGAGGGCCAGAGCGAGCTGCCGGAGGCTGAGCAGGACTTTGAGATGTACCGGCCGGGCTTCGTGAGCGTGCTGACGCGCCGCTTTACGTCGATGGGCGACCTGCTGGACACGCGCGAGGAGAGCGCCCTCTATGGGCACACGGCGCTCAAGCGCAGCAGCAGTGTTGAGCAGCTGCTCGCGAGCGCGGGCCGGCAGCGGCACGGCAGCGCCACCACGAGCGAGTCGAGCGGCTGCAGCAGCAGCGAGGCGATGCCTCCTGGCGGTGCGGCGCCCTCTGGTGACGCGGCGTTTGCGGGCGCTATTGACGGGTCGTCAAGTGGTAATGAGAGCGCGGAGCGGGAAGTGGGGCACGATGAATGCGACAAAATTGGGCGTAATCACGGTGCTGGCACTGTAGACGAACTACCGAGGCCGAACACAGTGCAGTGCTACAGGAGTTTGTTTGAGACGGGCAGAGTGGATAAAGCGCTCGTGAAGAGATGGCATCGTGTGGGACAGCAGCGACCGCCCGGCTCCCACCACGCAGACTGTACCCTGTTGACCAATGGCCACAGTGAGCCAACCGACGACATGGTTGTCACGAAAATCACGCCAGCGATAGGGAGTGTCACCCGATTAGAGAAAAACGGCACTGCAGCGGTTAAAGCGGAAAACCAGAAGAATATTACAGGTGACAAGAACCTGGATAAGGTGTCCCGGTTTGAGAAGAGGTTGAACGAACTGCACAATCAGCATGCACCTATTCCCAGGCAGCTGCGAGCCAGGGCAAGTGCAGCAGATGCAAAGGTGAGAGATAAAAAGAGGCAGGGAGAGGAAAGAGAGTTGTTGTAAGGAAGATTGTGAGCAAGAGGTAGAGAGAGGGAGGTAGGAACTGCTGAATGGAGAGGCAGAGAGAGAGAGAGAGATAGAGAGAGAGAGAGAGAGAGAGAGAGAGAGAGAGAGAGAGAGAGAGAGAGAGAGGGAGAGCGGGAGAGAAAGAGAGGGAGAGGAGATGGCGAGAGTGTTAAAAATATTCACATTTAGATCTACTGATCAATGTTAAATTAAATAATCATCTATTTTCGTGCAGTTATTCTGAAGGACTTTATGGCTATCGTAAATAACCAGATTTAGTGTACAATTTAGTGAACCAATACACGTAGGTATTGAATATGATAATGTGATATAATCACTCATACGAATCTGTGATCGTGAACTACCATGTTTTGTGAGTATTCATTACTATATATATGTATGTGGACCCATACCTATAGCCCTTGCTGTACGATTGTATTTTCACAGCTACAGGTTGCAGACAAGCCTCCATGTTTTTTGCCAAAAAGACCACAAATCCTACCAAAGGCAGCCATTCTTTCCCACCACACGTCCAGTAATGAGGCAGCTGACCGAGTGTTAAGCAACAGCTCCCTACCGAGTGCAGCTCTGTCCACCCACCACATCGTGTCCTCTCCGGAGCCAGCTGATCTGGTCGTGGACAGCAGTGTGCATGATCTCCCTGCCTACACGCCTCTGTCCACCCACAACATCCTGAGTCCGGCCGTGAATGCGGCTGCACCGTCGCGATGTCGGGCTGACAGTGCATCGCGAGTGTTGGAGGAGGAGCTGGTCAAACCCAGTTCGTATCGGCCACGACGTGACGCAGCATCCACGCCGGCGGGAGCGCCCGCATCAGATGGTGACGCATCCATAGCGGCGACAGACTCCTCGAATAGTGACTCATCCGAGCGTCAGGTGGCAGCAGGTGATGTCTGCACTACGAAGGAAGAGAGTGAGACCTCGCAGGATGTTGATGGCAGGAAGGAAGTACAAGCCCTGCCAGTGGACAGCATGATGCATTCGCAGCCGATTGCCGCAGCGAGACAACTGGACGGCATCAACGCCGAACTCTGCAAGGATGGCTTTGTGATCAAGCCAAATTCGGCGCTGCTCGGAGGCAGGGAGATGGGTTGTTCCTCTGGCAGCATGAAGCTGCCCCCCAGCCATCCCCAGCATCGGGGGATCGACTCGGGTGTTCTTGCGCGTATTCGCTCGAAGGGGAAGGTCTACAGGTACGACACGGGCGTTTATACACCACTCAAGCGGGACTCTCGGCGCGGCGTCGCCAACACAGCAACGGCAACAGAATCGTTGGAGCCAGCGAGCAACAAAAAACCTACAACAACAACAACAACGACGCCAACGACGACGAATAGGACTGAGAATGACAATGAGAGGGTTGCACCAGACCTGCACACACCTGTTAACAATGAAGTGAAACTTGCGAGGGAGAAACTTGCAGCCGTCGCGGCGAAGCCACTTGTCAATGGCCACAGTCGGCCGCTGCGCTTCAGATTTGAGTTGGACGACATCACCGCAACGCCAAAGACATTCGGTCAGGTAGACAGCACGACTGAGGTGAACCTCCCCTCGCCAATCGAGTGTGACCCCACCTCTCCTGCGTCACGCCTCACAGAGGAAGACCGGCAGGAGGAGGAGGAGGAGGAGGCAGAGACACCGTCGGCGTTCGCTGACGACGACACACCCGACTACGGCGACGACTACGACGCCGACGATGACGACGACAACGACGCGGGTGGGTACAGCGTGGAGGACCTGTATGGGGACATGGACGCGAGCGGAGGAGCGCACGTGCAGCGCTCCGCCTTTGGCAACCTTATCTTCTCGAGCCTGCAGGAGGAGGACGAGGAGGAGGCGAGCTTCCTCGTGCATGTGGAGCCGTGCAACATCAGCTTCGATGGCGAGATGGTGCTGATGGAGGGAAGGTCTTGCTTCATCAAGGAGCGCAACAAAAACGTGAGTCTACCACACCACGAATGCCCACTACCGATTAGTTGCCTTCAGCCTTTTCCAACGAATTCATATGTTTTGCGACAGAACTTTGTTGAAACAACTGTTGACATGTTTATTGTACATAATTGTCTGAGACTAAGTGCATTGTGCACACTACGATTTTATTTTAGTTTCCCCATGAATTTACTTGTGATGTTTTGCGACAGTTGCTAAGATAGGTGGTTGACTTGTTTATTGTAATTGAAACAAAAATGTGAGCCTAGTGCATTGTGTCCTATGTCGATTCCTTGCCCTGATTTTACCCATAACCTGTCATGTAGTGTGCATTGTAACTGCAACAGTTGTTGTGGCATTTGTTGTGTTGTTTTAAACTGTATTCGAAACGAAAACGTAAGCGTACTGTAGTGTGCCACTAGTCATTCTCCTCGACTATTTTTCCGTGAACTAGCTATTTCTCTTCGTGACATTTTTATGACGCATTCGTTATGGTGCATCATCCTTGCGCGTTGATGTGACTGCGGGTATATATGCGCTCACAGCGGGTTAACCATAGCAGACACTACACGCACACCCCCCAATGCGGCCTGACCACATTACTGTTCAAGCTCAACTACAAGTTACAACGGCAATCACACGAACTACTGCTTTGATCAGTTCAGCCAGAACTGATTGCACGGTTTGTGTTCACGCTCCTTTTCGCATTACTCATTACTCGTCCCGTTCCTAACAATGCTCGTGTGCATTATATTCATGCTCCAATTACATAAGTAAAACGAATGAATTCGATCCGGATACGTGATATGTAAATGAATTAGCTGTCGATCCATCGAGTACAATGTGTGCAAGTACAGGATATATATTCATGTCGTTAGGTGCGTCACGGTTACCTTTCCGCTTATATAAGTCGTTGTGAACGCGATTCGCAGAGTACAGTACTGTTGCACGAAGGGTCGTTGTCGTATAGGGTACTACATATATATGTACCCGAGGTACGTATATGTATACCAGACCTGTATCTTCTCAGCATATATGTACCCTGTGTTTAGGGTTAGGGTTAGGGTTATGGTTCGGGTACACTTCTGTATACATAGTATACACTGATGTACCTCGGGTACATATATATACGACAACGACCCCTTCCGCAGTACTGTTGGATCTCCTTCGATAGTCGGTGGCCTTGACCACCAAGTATATATAATATAATATCAGTGGTGAATAATAATAGATGGATATCACTCCTGATAATATATCATCTGAGCTTTCACGCGATTCTCTTTGAATGTAAGAATTATATGCGGAAAGCAGAAGAAATTCTATGAATTTCATAAGTGCGTGTGAGTTTACACGACATGTTAAAGCTGCTTGATCATGAGAGGGAAAAGCTCGACTATTTAAATGTGGTGGCCGTGTTCTGTTAGAGCATCTCAACGTCGCGTGAAACATACAGGTAATCTCTGCTTCCTTGGTATGCAACCTCCACCTCATTCCATTTCCCCGTTATAACCAGGCAGTTGCGGATCTAGACGAGTCTCTCCACTCACCCCCTTAGATCTGTGACTTCACACAGGTCTTGTACAGAGAGACTATCTTCTAGGCGTTACGATAGAATTGGGTTGTGCCAGTCGAACGACTTGTATTTATTGTGGCGGTGCAGTTAAGATAACATAAATTGCTGCTTGAAGCGAGTGATTCAGGCGGTACGCACGAAACATTTCAAGGGATGAAATATTTACTTCCGTATTTCGTTAGCTGTCACAAAACAGCAAAAATCACGACCACAATATATTAATACTCTGCGAGGTTCTTTCGACATGGTGATGAAGTTGCATTAAATCAGGACATGGCTGCGGGTAGTTTAGTGATGCAACGATGTGGCGGGCTTGTTGTAGCGCAATAGTCAACACTCAGCAGTCCGAAATAGGTCCGAGTACCGTAGCGATAAAAAAATGTATGCACTGCAGCGCGTGATGCTGTTTGAATTGTAAGCAAGAAAGGGAATGTGAAGTGCATATACTAGCTTAGCTGTGTGTGATCGGTAGTTCAATGTCAAACGATTTCAGTGTTACCCACAGCAACGTAATCGACGCAATCTACAAGTGCTGTGGAATGCAGTGGATGGTGGCTCAAAAGGGCCACCGGCTCATTTCCTTTTACAGATAAATTTAAAGTATTTAATTATTATTAAAAAAAAAAATTTTAAAATTCCATTTCGATTGAAAAATTAACGTTAGGCATATAATCTAATATTTAAACCTGTTATTAAGTTGAGAAATTCCTATTGTTTTATATTTATAAATTTATTTTAAAAATAATATGTGAAACTAAATGATGAAAACGCTATTAAACATGTGATTAAATTCGGAAAATGTACAGGTAGCTTTTGCATACTGTATACCCATATATATATACAGTAAAAACCCGCATAAAAGAACCCGTGATTTTAAGAACCTCCAGGCTGAAATTGGAACAATAAAGCACCTATTATATAAGAACCTCTTCAGCCTGATAAACTAAACAGGTTCTTATATTTTAAAAAATACCGAAAATTAGAGAAAACTGGGGCAATCCAAGTATGTGTGCTACACCATTGGAAACCAACAACATGTAGTTCCAGATAATATTAATACCTCCTCACAGGAGGATTGGATTTCCCAGGGGGTATTTTGCCTCATTTTCCAGTAAATGTTGGGGCTTGATTTTGACGATACAGAGGATTGAGGGGGAGGATGGTGTGAATATTTTCTGAAACTATACAATATTGTTTTCTATTGTCAAGAGTTGCTATTCAGTAATCAGTTCAATTGGAAAATATGTGTAAACAAACCATTGTTTTTAAAATATGATAAGTAAATTAAAGGTGATAAATAAATTAACTCAAATGAATTTAAACAGACATATCTCTCTCCCTCCCTCCATCCCTCTCTCTGTGGACCCTGCGCTCTATATGCCCATCGTGATTGAACTGTTGTATGCAATGTGACTGTGCAAAAATCCAAAATCCGAAATGTCTGTGTTATTCCTAACCTGGCACAGTCAGATTGCATAGAAGAGTTAAGGCACTAACAAAATACCCATATACCAATATGCTTGTCCACTCCACAGACAGACAGACAGACAGACGGACGGACAGAGATCGCAGATATATAAATATAGATTACAGGTGTAGATAATAGGGTATTAGGCTAGGTATATATATTATTACAGGTGTAGATATATTAGGGTATTAGGCTAGGTATATATATTATTACAGGTGTAGATATATTAGGGTATTAGGCTAGGTATATATATTATTACAGGTGTAGATATTAGGGTATTAGGCTAGGTATATATATTATTAGCTCTTGATACAATTTAAGTCACATTCACCTGTACGCTGTTCTTATGCCTGTACATATGGGAGTATGGGCATATTTGGGACATTTAATATATATCTGTCTATATCTGTATATTATGGGTATGCGCGCACACGTAACACGCAGGTAACACGCACGCATGTGCAGATAAATCTGCGCCTGTACCACGCTCATGATCATCTGGCATGATCAGCACTGCAGTTGAACAGACGTATCCTTGCTCAATATTTCCGCTGGTCTGTAGACCGATAAATAAGGCCATTATGTGTTGATGGTGGGAATAGGACCACGTTGAGACGTAAGACAAGGGGTGCAGACAGGGGGTATTTCCTGCCTGTCATTGTACGCGTACATGCTTTTCTGCTAGTGAAACCGCACATTGTTGGCGATACAAAGGCGTTCGGGTGTAGGCCATCTTTTGATAGCTTTCGCGGTACGCCCGTGTGCTAGTTTAGGGGGTTGGTCTGAAACATCGCTAAGCTTCTTCTGTGACAAAACGAAATCGCTTGTTGTGTTAGCGATGCGAGTTTCCCGTATATTTCGTACCGATTTCTTTCTGCTGCCCGTGTCGTACATTTGTTCGCCGTACAAGTTTAGATATAGGTACAGGATATATTTCTCGTCTATTATTGACGTGTAGTTATTACTGACGTGCAGCATATTCTCCACACAGATGCTATCCATGCAAAGAGGTTTTTGAGCAATTTAGCTGAGTCGTCGCATAGCGGGGGTGTGGTCCGTCTTTATAATGCTCCTCTAAGTGAAAACATGAAAGCTTCCGTACATCACATTCTTGTTTTAGCCTGACCTGTCCTAAAAGAACAGTAGCTACGTATACTATGATAGCAGTGTATTGTCAGATTTAATTGCGCTTAGTATCTGATAGTACTGTATTCAGTGGCGTTTCTCAGCGCGTGGAAGCCAGGACGGGCCAGTTACCACAACTAAGGGCCCGCCCGCCCGTAGGTGCGACCGTCTGAGTATTCACTTGCAATTTTTAGCAAAATTTTGTGATTTTGAGAATATGTTGATATTTGGTAATTGGGTATAATCGGTTTCATAGGTAAATACGAGAGCGACTCACCTGGCATGACAAGTCACGGTGGCCTGTTTACGGGACGTATCTCGGTTTCTAATTCCAGCAAGTCCCAACTATCTGAGAAAGTGAAAGACGCGGTAAATTCTTCGCGTTACGCTAATCTCCTCTGCTGTTGTCGTGAGCACTCGACTCATCGGCCAGTGAAAGTTGTGTGTTATCTCTCTCCAGCCTAGGGGCGAGCTCACATTCCTGAGCGTGCCATCGCTAGCGGTCAGCTACTGTCGTAAAGAGACGCTTACACCGTACGTGCTCTGGTGTGCGACGTACACCTTCCCTCGCCGACGCGTGCGTGCCATTAACAAACAAAAAACAGGTACTGTGAAACCTTGAGGCGGGACCTTGAGGAGCGCAGGAATCTAGGAGCGTCTCAGCATCTTGTTCTAAGGGATACCTCCCTCCTCTAGATGCCAAACCCTACCACCACTGCGGTACGTGAACACTACAGTGCGCTCGCGATGAATTGCTTGCAATATAGGGCGCCTATACTATTATAACAATCGTAGATTGAGGCATTTGAAGCGAATACATTAAACATGTGAGAAAGATGAAAT